GTGTGTTAAACACAAGATCAAAGTTTTTTTTTTAAACTCACCCTTCCTACGTGTGTGTATTCCACTGTAAGGTAGTGCACGTTGTTGTGAATGACCGTGGACATTCGTTCTCCCATGTTGTGTGTTTCTCTCTGGACGGATGTACTAAACTGCAAATTCCTTGTGTGTGTAAACATAYTTGGCCAATAAAGCTGATTCTGATTTTGTCAAAAAAAAAAGGAAGTTTTTTTTCAACATTGACGTGTTTCCATTAAACACATTTATTTTAGGAATTCTAATTTKTGCATTTTCATGGTCAGTGGAAATGCAGTTCTTGACGCATCAACGTTTTCTAATCTCCTCCATGAGACGTTCTTCAAATTTAGACTCCATTTAACCGACAAAAGACCAGATTCTCCACTTTATCAGCTTGGTGCTGCATCCAAACAGTTCGATGTGAACTCACTGGGCAGTTTATTGTGTGACACCGCAGACGTGGACATAAAAAACTGATCTCTGCGCGGACTAGTCCGGTGGACGGACACTTTAAGACCACCATGAGTCCGTGCAGAGTGAAGCCAGAGCATGTGGGGGCTAGACTCTTTAAAATAATGAAGCAGTGTGTGAGCTGAGACCACCTGTCCTTAAACTGACCCAACATGTTTGTGGGTTTTAGTTCAGCACAGTGAAATCCTGTTTGTTTTCCATCTGTGGTAAAAGTAAAAACCTGTTCTTTGATAGAGAAATGTTCCCACTTGTGTTTGAGTGTGAACAAGCAGTCAGTGGAAACACTGATTACTCTCACAYTGTAAAGAAATGTCAGCTGGTCTGTATGAACACTGAGCCTTTATTTCTGCCCTGCTTCACACTCCATGAGCAGCACCTGTTCATTTAGTTAACCAAAGGCCACAGCTTCACATCAGTCGTAGAGGCGGGTTTATCATTCCTTTTACTTTGATTTGTGTAATTTCATTGGTTTTTATTGTATATAGTTATTTTTCAATGAAATGAATAATTTTTTGAATTGAATTATTCATTAAAACACATCAAGTAATGTAAATCACATCTCCACAAAGGTTATTGGCACACACCTCTCATAATAAACCTCCTGCTTATGATGCAAGACAGCCTGAAAAGTTTCCTTTTTAAGTTTGTGCTTGATGGGCTGTTTGTTTTCTACAGCTACATGATGAAATGTCCCTGAAATAAAAGGTGTGGAAGTTCAGAGGAGCGGCTCGGATTGTGAAACTCACCCACTGATGATGCCATTAGGATAACCCAAATGTTCAGCAAAAGATTCCTGAATCACAGAGAATCAAACATTTCAATTAGAAACAGAAAACATGTCCAACATTTACATCAGCCTGGACAGAGCCACACATCTAAAGATGACGAGGAGCTCAAATTTAAACTCTTTAWGTTTAATTACTATTATTTTTCATGGTTTTATAACACTGCAGCTTTTTAATTACKTTCTTCTCAGCACAGTAAAGAAATCAATGTTACAAATGTAGAATGAGATTAAACCATTAGAAGCAGAAACAAATCTTATTCAAGCTCTTTAAAACTGTTGTTTAAAACCAAAAAAGAAAAAATCAGTAGTTCCTCTGGATGGTTCTTCTTCAGTGAAACGGTTCCTCTCTCCTCCAACAGACTTCTTCAGTCTGAGGAGTTTCAGCTGAACTCAGCCTTATAAGCTCCGCCTCCACATGGTGACAAACAGGTTGGTCACAAGCAAAAGAGGACCATCGACTAACAATAGTTGTTTGTTTGTGGTTTAAAACATTCAGATAGAAATGAATGCAGGTAACCTTCAGAGGTCACTCCAGAGGAGGCTCAGACCCCCTTTACAGGAGGCTCAGACCCCCTTTCAGAGGAGGCTCAGACCACCTTCAGAG